TATATAAATATATATATAAAAAGAGAATACGTCACACACACGCACAAGCTCATCTTTTGTGTCTCTGTGTGCTCACTTGTGTTCAACACAAATTTCTATCAGGTACCTGCTGCAAATGACTATACACAGACCTACAACTTTAGGTGGCAATGTGGCACTTACATGGAGTTTGACCCTTTCCTGGAGAGAACACAGAAAAATCATGTTCTTGTACTGTACCACATTGAGACTGCAATAGTAGAAAAGGGATGATATTTTTAGACAGGGATGGGCTTTAGTGAAAACACGTATCTCTGTAGTGCTGTGACCTGTTGTAAGGCCCTTTTAACCACCTCGACTGACTCAACCCCCCCTGGTACTGTATAAACCAAGAGGTTTATACAGTACAAAGCAATCTGTCCTTAGCCCTTGTGTAGGCAGACCATTTGAAGATGTGGCTTTGTAGCAGGAATAAAAACCCGAAAGCAGGAAACAAAAGAAAGCAATACTGTACATGTAAACGTTTTATCCTACACAACCATGCCTAAATCCCCGTCACAGTAGGAGTATATGAAGGGCTTAAGCCACACAGTCTATTTTTGCACGTGCAACACAAACCGCAATTGTAACAGGGAGAAGGGAGGTTTCTTGTTAAGTGTGTGACTTAAAAAAAAATCTATATATATAAATAATGGGATTGGGGGAAGCATGAGATTTTTTTTTTTAAAGATCTATACGCCTGGCGGCGTTTAAAAGAAAAAAAAAGTAATATATTAAGTTATAATTGGAATATGTTTAAGAACATTTCTTTTTACATTCATACCTTGGAAAAAAAACAGAACTGATTTTAGCTTGTGTATATTTTATATTATTAAAAAATACCCTTATGAATTAATGACTATATATAAAAGTTCTATACTTTTGAACACGTTCTGCAATGAATTATTTATATAAACCAAAGCTGTATGTTGAGCTTTTTCTTTTTCCTTTTTTTTTTTTTTTTGTAGACTATAGACTTATCCTGTAATTCCTTGATTTTTATATATATTTTTTTTGCTTTGAAAGTAAAAAGAAAAAGTAAAAAATAATATTGCAACATCTGCGGGAAGAAAAAAAAAATATAAGCCATGATATAACTGTATGTATAAATTAAACTTTGAGCCAAACTCTTGTTCTTTTGTATATAACATCCTAAATATTTCACAACAGGGTGTAAGTACCAATGTATTGTATGTTCACCAAACCGATTTATATAGATAGATAGATCTATCTATCTTTATATAGATAGATCTATCTATCTATATATATTTCGGAGTACTGCCAACTTGAAGTGATAACGGCAATATCCAAGTAGAAAAGTATAAGAGTATTTAATGTGTAATGTACAATTTTGTCAAATATGCTGTATTCCCTCTTGGGTGTTATTTGCTAGTACTGTTACTACACAACTCGCTTTTTTTTCTGAGAGTTGTATACAATTTTGTTTTGTGGTATTCGAAGTGCTGTGTTTTTGACTTAATTCTTGATATTCCATGCGCAGCATTGTGGCAAAATATTTGCGACTCAAGGAAACCAGTGCTCAGGTTTAAGAACTCCCATGTTTTAGAGATGGTGTTTTTGTTGAAGTTGGCACACTTAAGCAGCTTAGACCAGAACCTCTAGAGCACTGCACCTCTTACATAAACCATACAATAGGATTTTCATATAAATCACAAATTATTATTACCAGATGTCAGAATATAAGCCAAAATCGTATTTTTCCCCTTCATTTGGATGGAAGGGGAAAGGGATAAGAGCCTCTTTCAGATTCTTGCTTCTGTCTCTGTTCAAGTTGGGAAAATTTCCTCTTCGTTCCTTATTTGAATGACTGGTGCCACTGGAAGAGGTAATGAGGGTAAATCTCTCCAATGCGGGACGCAGACTGCAATGGAAACACTTTTTTAGAAGAGTGGTAAAGGGGTAAAACCACTGCCAGGTTTTTACTACGTCATATGTTCCCTTTGGACAGATTTCCCTTCACTTCTTCTTTCAACTGGTAGCACAAGGAAAAGAAATTAGGGGGAAATGTACACGGACAGTAAAAAAATAAACCTTTCCTTTTCCAAGTGTAGAACTTGTGAATTTCCACTGTAATAATGTACATATTGGTATCAAAATGTATATATATTTTTCCCTTTTACCTACTTAAAGGGGAACTAAACCCATGCACATATTTCCAAAATCAGTTTTTACCCTGCATATATAATTATAAAATATTTCCTATAGTCATAGGTTTCTTGAAATATTAAGCACTTGCAATATAAACACTGCAGGCAGCGCACGACTCTCCAATCCAAAAACCAGTGGCATGTTTGAGAAGTCCCCAGCATGCTTTTATGGGGAGCTTCATCTGCCCCCAGCTGAAGTTAGGCGGAATCCTGCGTGTTTGCAGTACGATGCACATACCTGTCAATGAGCGCTATCTCAGAGCTGCTGGTGAAGGAGAGCGAGTTCATACTGGTGCAGAAGAGATCACTTTGCTGGCATCTCCATGATGCCAAGACTGATCATTCAGTGGGCAGGCACATTTTTTGTTCCCTTAATAAAATTTAACAGAGGTTGTACACAATTGCTGGGGGCTGCAGTGCAAGGAACCTAAAGCTTCCAAGGTGGGCCAGCATTGTTTTCAAAGTGCATGTAATGCCTTTTAGTTTGGCTTTCATTTAAAAAAAAAAAGGATTTGTCCTAGTAGTTTCCCTGCAGTTGCTGACATTTTCCACAATGAGTGCCACATAGGAGGTTTAGTATTTATTGTAGACCCATGCTCACACCGTTCTATAGGATTAACCTTAGTTGGCTTGGTTCTGTAGGATATACAGGTATTACTGTACTGGAAGCATGCACTCAATTCTGCAACGGTGCATGTGATGCCATGTATTGTATAACATTTTAGAAGCTGCAGGTAATTTCACCTCAGAGAAGAAATAGGCCAACAAACGTAATAGAGGGATAAGGATTCTGGGAAATGCAGATCTAATTGTTAGTTGTTGAGCCCATCAGTTGAACTTTACTTTGACAGAGTAAATAATGGAGGCTACAGATTAGATTGGGGGCAGTTTTTGAGAATGGTAAATATAAAAAGGCTTGCATAGCATTTACATATTAAGTCTATTCTTAATGCAAGAGTTGTACAGAAAAATCTTATTTTCTCCTTCCTTAAACCCCATCCCAAAGGTAAGGCCTAACATACAGGGCCATTGTTAAATGATATCTTGTAAGCACTGAAAAGCATGAGATTCAGCAAACATTCATAAAATATTTTACAAGGTTTCAGCAGCCTTAATAAAGTATCATTCTGCTCTATTGGGAATTGCTATATACAAATCTCAATGGACCTGCTGACTCCAACTTTACACAGGCTTTTAGTAAGCTTCAATAATGCTGAGACCTGTTAAAGGTTTGCTAAAAAAAAAATCTTGTTTAAAGCTACAGCCTACAAAGCCTGAGATTGTGGAATAAATAATTATAATTTACAGACTGCAGTGGGA